CAAGTGGTAGAGCACTAGCCTTGAGCTGAAGAGCTGAGGGACAGTGCCCAGGCCCAGAGTTCAGGCCCCACGACTGGACCCCCCCCAAAAAAAAGTTTAAGCTGGAATAAGTATAAATGATACAAATACAGAACTACAGAGATCAATTGGCTAAAAAGAGTAAAGCATCAATATATATAATACTGTTTACCTTAGTAATCTGCTTACGGAAATAGGGCATCTTTTTCATCAGTTGGGTAAGAGCACTAAGTGATGTCTAGAAAAAAGAAAAAATTTTAAGTAAACTTCTGATTTAATTATTCTATATTATAATTTTTCAATCCTGGAGTATTAAATATTATCAAAACTAGTTATTTGTGAAACATATGGAAAAATTTTAAAGAAATTTCAGATGCTTCTAATTGCAGTCACAGTAAAGAAGCTGATAGTAAAATGACTCTGTCCCCATAAACAAATAAAAAACAATAAACATAAACAAATAAAACAATAGTTTTTAGGCAATGGATAAAGAACAATGGAGTGAAAGAAAGCACAAAAGTGATCCTTGAATTCATCTTCTCTTCTCTATGGTTATGTTTTCCATACTGAAAGTAAGCCGAGTTAAAATAGAAAACAATTATCTCTTTGTGCAAAATAAAAGAAAAAAAAAAAAGAGACCAGAGTTTGAGGCTGCTGAAGAGTAGGGTTTGGAAGCAAAGGTGCTAGAAAGAAAGTCACCAGCCAGAACATAACCCAAACATGCACTGAGTGATTGCCGGTGAACCCCTATTCTGAATGTGTACAGGGTATAACTCTCAAAGGCCTACTAGATGCTAGCACTTCCTAAATGGAGAAGTAATACCCAGATATTCAATCTCAGTATGCCTTAGGACTAAAAAGTGAAAACTCTCACCAAAACATTGCCTAACAACACACAGTCTTAAAAGAAACAAGGTATTCTTTAGCAATTTAACTCCCACCAGAATGGAACTCAGTATACTCTGTAGAGCGAACAATAGCTATAGCCACTGGGATGTATCATCCACAATGGCTAGTGTACAACTAAAAATTAACAGCAAGTTAAACAGGAAATTGGTTAATACTCAGATAAAATATTCAGTAAGTTTCTAAGGATTGTGTCTGCTAGTCAGGATTTCTAATCATGAGATACAGGGAATAGAGCCTAAAGCATTACAGAGAATAAAGTTGCTTTTAGGACATGAATCTGAGTCCTTCCTCTGGGGTATATATGCCTATGTTTTGTTTTTTTGTTGGTGTAGGACTTGAACTCATGGCCTGGATGCTGTCCCTGAGTTCTTTCACTCAAGGCTACCTAGCCACAGCATCACTTCCAGTTTTCTGGAGGTTAACTGGAGATAATAGTCTCACAGACTTTCCTGCCTAGCCTGGTTTTGAACCATGAACCTCAGATCTCAGCCTCCTGAGAAGCTGGGATTACAGGCATGAGCCACCAGTGCCCAGTTTATGTCTATGGTTTTGATAAGCCTTCTGCCATCCAGCAGCAGGCATTCTTCCTTATATCAATGGTTATAATGTAATATTAAAGCCGGGACTATGAAAACTGTATAAAATTGCTATTATGGATTCTGAAGCAGATTAACTTGGATCTAAGGGCAACCACTCAAAGTCTGGTTTAGGAGACAAAGAAGGTGGCTATGGCATTAGGAAGTTATAGGGTTATCTCTTGTCATGTCTGTACTAGGGGTGCCAATGAAGTGGCCAAAGTGCAGGAGCTACAGATGGAAACTATCCATATCATTGTAGATAGCCCTGACAGCATGCTTGATATGCTTAACCAGTTACCTGTGTCCTCCAATATTAAGATGCATGTATTAGATGAAGTTGATAAAATATTAAGCAGTAGTCAAGGATTAGATAAGACTTATGACTTATTCCAAAAGCTAAAAAAGCAACAACCCAAGTGTTTTCTACTGTCAGCTACAATGCCTTCTAGTGTTCTTAAGGTGACCAAGAAGTTCATGAAAGAGCTCATTCTGATTAACATCAAGAAGGAAAAAAATTGGTTATTGGACCTATTTGCCAATTTTGACATCAATCTGGAATAAGAGGAATAGAAACTAGATACTGTGGCTTGTAGGAAATACTGACAATCAACCAGGGCAATTATGTTCATAGATACCAGAAGGAAAGTGACTGGCTCACTAGGAAGATATATGTCTAAGCTTTCATGTTTGCCATGCATAGAGATATAGATGAAAGATAGGAGATATGATCATAAA